TTAGAGAACAACGTGGGTTAATAGCATTAGAGCTAGAAGGCTGGCTTAAGAGTTAGATATTATTAGACAATTTATAAGAAGAGGGGACTTGATGCTGATAAGAACTTTTAAGATGGCATAGCTTTCAGCAGTGAAAAAAGAGACGTAAGGATATATATTGGCAGCCGATTGGAATAGTAGATTAGGAAAAACAAAGGAGATGTCCGTCCCTATTGAATTAACAGAGCCATCCGTGAAAACAAGGATACAAGACAAATGTTTGTTCTAAATGTATTGATTAAAAATATTTTTAACTTTATTCTGGAGGACATAGAAAGTAACTCCGATGATGAAGTTTATTTTATTTGTATACAATTATTTATTACTTTCATACAAATTATTAATCATTATGTTCAAATTTTGATTAAATTTCTTACTAATTAATTATAATAAAATACGGTAAAAAGTGTACTAGATAAAATATAATACTAATAATATTTATGACTAAATGATAAAAAAATTGAATTCCCCCAATTTAAACGTCGGTTTAAATAATTCCCTATGAACAGAGGACATCATTTATCGTTTCCTGTATTTGTCTAGAAGAAAGAATGATTAGAAAATCTAATTTGTTTTAAAAATATCTTTTGTCTAAATAAAATCATATTTTTTAATAATGATCTTCGTTTCACGATTGCTCGTTTCCGGCGATAGTGCATTTCTGCCAAAAATATAAGTACCAAATCGTTTTATGTACATATAATATTATTTAGATATCTAATTTAAAAATTATAATAAACGATTTGAAAATCGTAAAATGCAAAATTATGATCCGTAACGGACAAAAATTATCAATTATTTTGTTTTTAATTATTTCAAAACGTCTTAATTTCACCATGTAAACGTATTTTTAAATGACGTTATTCGACGATTTATTGAATTACCACGTGTGCACTATGCACACTGTAATAATAATTATACGTGACGTCTGCGAAACATTAGATTATTATTATTATGCCGTCGTCGTCCCGGCCGTAATCATATCGAATTATCTGTACTATATACTTAAACGTGTCGGTTGCGGACATTTGGCAGGGTCTCCAAACCACGTCAAACGACTCGTGTGATACACCTATATCTACATTATAAGTTATAACACAAGGAAGTAGGTAAGCGATTAAAATTCGGACGTTTGAGTGTCGCGTTTGCGTGGGACGATAATATGATAATAGTATTATGTTCGTTATAACGTGTCGTTTTATAATACCTATATTATATCGTCGTATCACTCGTACTTCCTACAAACTATGACATTTCGTTCACTAGGTATATCGTAGGAGTGTGAGCGAATATGCCATGACGAAATAACCCAGCCTGATATTAAACTGCATGGTGATACACTAGATCTCTGAAAATAGTTGACGAATGTAATAAATCTCTTGAAATGTATATTATTATAATGAATTATGGACGTTGCGCCAAAAATATAAGATGCAAAATACAACGAGCAATACGTGTATTTTAAAGGAAAAAGAGCCTATTTACTTGTAGGAATATATTATTAGATACCTATAGAATTAGTTAAGAAAAAAATAACTTGTGTTTGGAGCGTAGTCCTTTATGGGAGTGACTCGTGGACAATAGGCTAACGAAAATAATCTACACGCATTCGAGGCGTGGTGCTATAAACAAATTCTTAAATAAGTTGTGTACGTCGTATAACAAATAAAGAAGTCTACTGTAGAGAAAAAGAAGAGAGATGTTTCCTTAAAGTCATGAAGATTAGAAACACTAATTTGGACGTACACGTCGTCACAAAAGTCTACTAGACTCTAGAATTATGCTCCCTGGTAAGTAGAGACATCAATATAGGGATCCATAGTAAGAAAAAATTGCCTAGAAAGGCTACCACTCCAATGTATGGGAAAATTAGTTAAGGATTTAGGTTACGAAAAATAATTATGTACCATGAATCAAAAAGAAAGCACCAAAAATGTAGGGCTGCTACCAACCAGCCCTTGGGCTGTTACCACGAAAAGATTAAAAGAGTCGCTCGGTATACTGTTGCAAGACAGTTTAACGTGTACATAACTTTTGTTTGGGAGGAGGGGAGAAGCAGAAAAAAAACATTTTTTTGGGAGTAAGTCTTTTTTCAATTTGCAGCATTATGTCAAATAAAAAGTAAAAAAAAAAAGTCAATGCAGGGATATGATTCCCATCTCTCCGGTAATACACTCCCCTTATACACGAGACAAAATGAACCACGCGAACACTGCTATACCTTAGTATTGGAAACCGACCGAAAAATATTATTTGTTCGTGTATTCTTTTTTTTTCAGATACACTATCGACATAAAACGTTATTTTGGCTGTTATCATCAAACAGCAGACAAACAATAATAATAAAAATAATATAATATATTCATAAAATAATGTAAGCACACCACGGCAAGGGACAAGACGAACTGCTGCAGATATTTTAATGTGCGAAGACATTTTGATGATTTAAATGTCCGCCGAGAAAAGTAACGTATCAAATAATATGACGTACAGTTATGGGTTATTTTTAAAACAAAATAAAATGTCAACATTATTATGCGGCGTATTATATCATTTTTATTGGTTTTAAAATATTATAATAAACGTATTCCCTCGGTTTTTTCGCGAACTGACGGAAAGCGTTTTAAAAATTTCGCCGAAATTGTTAATAGTTCAAAAATATGTCTGTGAAATATCGTAACAACGGCCAGTATATACGTAGTACACACTATATTTACGTATATTATTTTTAGATTTCTTTTAATAAAATGTGTAATTTGTAATAATTTTAATCAAGGTTACTCGTCATATCGTACAGTATAATATACCTATGAATGTATTCTATATGCCCAACGATATATTTAATATATTTCAAAACCTTGATTTTTTTTTTTTTTTTTTTATGAACACTTATAGTCAAAAACAAACAAAAAGTGACGTTATAAGACTATAAGGTTATTGTATAAACACTTGAGTGTTTATAACGTTTTTATTAAGATTTTAAGTTAACTGACCCTCTTCAGTCGCGTTCTTCGAACGATGTTTCATCATTATTATATCAAATCAATAATAATATATTAATGTGCTCTATCTATATGATTATGTATACCTTTACTAGGTATCTATTATGTCCGAGTGCAGCGCGAACGTGGGACAAATATTTTTATGTGGCCTACTTGACACCTCGTACACCCCAAGAAAATACTGAAATAGCGCCCCTGATTATACATGCAACATATTGAATAATATTGTGTAATTACCTATTATAATATAATTTAAAACTTTATTTAAGGATATTCTACGCTTGATTTTTAGTAACAAAAGTATAATAGAGTAGTCACAATACTTGATTTGGGGAAGACACGACGAGACTGAGTAGCTAGTTTATTTTATTGGATATTCTGGCGTACCACTACATCTGTTTTGATAGGGAATACATGATACGGGTCGTATTTATGCTTACCTATTTTCATAAAATTGCTCGACTTAAATTGTTATATTGAATATATTATAAATCTTACAAAATATTCTAATATTTACAAAATGTATTGATATATCATATCTGATACGTGATAGGTAACTGATAAGTAGCCATCAATAATAACCATTCATTATCCATACATCCAGGTAATTAGTAACCACAGTGTGACCCAGTGTTCAATATTCTCATTTATGAAATCTTTTAAATGGAGATGTTTAAAACTGAAACATGATTAAATTATTATGGAAAATATTTTGTAACTGTTTTGTATATTTAAATGTTGGTTTCAAAAATTATAACTTTTACCTGTTATATATTCTGTTCTATTATGATTCTTCTTAAGGTACCGTAAAAGACTTTGTGGGAGCAAAGTCTCCCTCGGTAATATGAGAGATATTAAAATTCTAGGGATGCTACTCTTTTTAAAGTATGCTAAGTATACTTAATACTAATAATCCGTTTGAACGGCGCAGTAGCAGTATTAATGGTGGTTATTACTCTATAATATACGGTTTACATTTAAAAAAGAAAAAAATAAACGTTTTTCATTTTATTTCTTTGAAGCAATGGTTTTTCGATAACACTATTATTAATTCTACAAAAAGCGTTGAAGTTTTTTTTTAATTTTTATAGCCCAACACAAAAACAAGATCTGCTTTATACTCTATGATAATAATACGTTTTCGACTATAAAAATATGTTTCACGTATTTTATATTTAGCATCGCATCGTAGCTCCTATGTACATTATTATTATACACAATCGTATAGCGTGTACTTCCACTTAATAACTTTTTTTTTCTTCTTTAAGCTAGTCACTTATAGGTACACTGCACAATGCTATAATTAGCGTACCTAATTTTGTACATTTGAATACGTGGTAATACATTGTATCATTAATTAGCGTAACCTATAATACTTATTATGAAAAGTCCATCAAGTCTGTCCGTCCGTACGCACAGATAATATTATCTCTCACACGGTTGTTAATTCTGGAATGCGGTTTTCACTCTAAACGATTAGTTAGGCTTTAAAAAAGATCTCACGTCATGAATTTCCGGGTGTGAAAAATTGAACTGATTTACTCATCGGGAGCTTACGTTACTACCAAAGGGGCCAGGTTTTGAAAATGTCATGGGGGCACTATTTTATAAACATATGAACAGTTTTACTTAAATCTTATCATATATTTCTTATTTTTATTATCCTTACATTGCTCGTTAAACAATTACTAAAATATAATTATTTGTTATTTTGCATGTTATAAACATTTTAATAGTATTATAGCATTATAAAAAAAACACAAGACAAAAATCAAAAAATGCGTGAACCTGGTTAATTACCAAAATCTACATTTTTTCCCTTCTATCAACGTCAAAAAGAAAAAAAACAGCTTATCTTTCTTAATTAATTTGTAATTATAAATATAAATAAAATTAGTATTTTAAAGATGTACACGACAAATATTGCATTTTTTTTTTTCATAATTTTAGAACCATGGGGGCTCAGCTTCGTTTTATCAAGCTCACGGGGGGGCTACAGCTCCGAAGACCCCCTGTACACGGCGTCCCTGGTTACTACAATACTCCGGTTTGTGCAATACAGGTTTGTTTATTTTAAAGTTCGTTGAAAGGGTGCCCCTGTGGCCCGATGTCGAATTTCTTAAATTTTAAATTATTGTTAACGTTTTATCGATCGTTTTACCGACACGACTTTTCCCCCGATCCGCTGCCGGATACCCATTATAAGACGGAACATGTATTTCAATAATATACTATAGGCAATCGTTTTTGGCGTAAAACGCTCATTTGTATACGTAAATTATTATAGTATCGTGTTTGTTATAATAATACGCGGTGTATTAGATATTTTTCCGAGACGAATCGATTTTCGAATAGGCCATAATATAATCTACAGTATCGTCGATGCGACGGCATTTTACGTTTTGTTTAAATGAAAAATCTCTTCTTTGACAGCGGGAAGAAAAAAAATAGCCACTCGATTTTCGCTGAAAAGTTTGACGCAGTCGCGCGACGGTTATAACAAAAGCGACGACCTTGTAATGCACACGCGTATTATTGGTATATAAAATATACCTACGTGTTATTTGAGTATCATTACACGTTTATTTTTTTTTTTTATCTTTTTTTTTTTTTGCTCTACGCAGATTTTTTTTTTTTTTTTTAATTTGACAATGAAAACGGTCGTGTAAACACGCGCTATATGCCTATATAATTTGTTGCATCAATGCGCAATAAACGTATAAAACACATACGCGTACATATAGGCGCACGAAACGCATTTATATAACATCAAACAACGCACAGTGTGTACAAAACAATAATAGTATGCAGTAATACATAGGTGTATAATATTTACATAAATAATTTTCGAATCCGAATTAATCTCGTTTATACTCGCGCGCGGCGCTATAATTGAAAAACGGAATTTATTTACCCGTGCCACATAATATCCGCGCGTACAGACATCTATAACATAATGATTTCTACACGAATCCCCGACGACGTTTAATAATCGAAATCATTAAACGCGAATATTGGTCCGACGAGAAAGCCGTTTAAGATTATAAGATTATATTGTCGCATCTACGCATCACTTTTAATATTATTTCAGACTTTTTTTTTTTTCGATAACGATTTTCAAACGGATATTAAAACGGTGTCGAAATGATATTATTTCGATTTGAAAACAACGCGCTGCACATCGCTGCATCGGACGTGGTTGCAGTCGTATACGCGTTTCTCTTCTGCATATAACTATTTTACGGTTTTATTGCAAATTTTTTTTTTTTTACATTCTGTTTACTCGCGACGACGATGGCCGACAGCGGGGAGTACCTATAGACAATATTATACGCGCGCTGCAGTACTGCATCGTTTCGTGTTTTTTACGATTTTTTATTTCGCACCCGTCACGTTCGAAACGATAATGTACATCAACGGATAATATAATAATAATATTCAGTCGTATTCCGTGGAAAAAAAATTTTAACTGCACTGCAATAATACCTCGCTACGAATTACTTATATTATTATAGTATAGGCATCTGGGATTTTTGAAGTTTGTTGTTTTATTTCTGTTTCTGTACTTTTACACTCGTCGACAATCAAAACCCGCAATCAATGCGTTAGTCGGCCGACCGAAAATGTCGTTTATAAATTACGCCGTCTGTATAATCGGGGTTTAAGAGCCATTGTATTACGTTAAGCGCGTAAATATAATATTAGGCACAGTTGTCCTTGCGGTGCCACCGTCAATATAACCGTCGCACGTTCGATAACCAATAATTTAAAAGCTTTTGACGAATCGACAAACACGTACTGGTCCTTCGAGATAATCCCCGTTCACTATATTACATTATACAAAGTTTGAAAATACCTGTGATACGTATCGTATAGTATATAATAATACGTCATGTTACGCTGTATTTTGTTGTGTAGCGTTTCGATTATTGAGCGATCGACTCGGCCGTCCGATATTAAAAACCGAAAAGTTAAGCGGATTATTACAATATTATAATATTACATTATTATTCTCGGTTATACAACAGCGAGGTTATTATTTGTGAGTATCGATCAAAGCGTTGCTGTTTGTTTTTTTTCTCTTTTTTTTATTATTATTTTTCGCGTGCTCATATCTATATAGTTTTATTACGGACAAACATTACACATTATGCGTACGAGTGTTATCTATACGTATATATCATGTACAACAGAATCGGCGTAGGTGTTGTGGCCAATAATTATAATAGGTATATAATATCCACGGACCATAGTACAATAGGTACTCATAGACTGGCCGTATTCGCGTTTCCGCCGATATGTGGGCGCTTTTCGGTTATCCAAGTTAATCATCTGCAATACGGTACAAAAATTCACCACATTTTTCGCGCCTTTTTTGTAATATCGGTATCGCTCAAGTTTTGTTTTTTTGTTTTTTACTCACTAAGTAAAATAACATAACGTGAAAAACGTGAGAGATTTCCAAGAATTATTTTCGGTCGGCAATTTTATCCATATAAAACCATATAAAAACTATAAAAAATGTCCAGAATGCTTTGAAAATTTTACCACGTCTAAAAGAAACCGATATAAAGTACTCAGTAAAAATTCAAGTCTCTACGATTGTTTTTAACAGAATAGCAAAAAAAAATAATAATAAAACCGTTAGTGCCGTAAACTTTTCCGTTTTTCCTACGATTTTTCCCTAAAATTAAGAAAATTATAAGGAAAATCAAAAAACGACCTCTCAATGAACCAAAAATGTTATTTTTAGAAAAGATGCTTGGCGTTTGAAAACTTTAGCGATACTTCTGCTAGAGAAAAGTTGTTAACAGACAGAGTAACATAAATGTAAAATATTTTAAAAAAAACATTTCTTGCTGCGCTCAGAATGTAAAAACAAAATAAGAAAATTCCTTTTGCGGTATATTATGTTGAATTTACAAATTGGAAATTACAGTTACAACTGGAGTGGAATACTAAAACGTAATAATATGTCTTATTTATATACACGCACGTGCCGAGGCGTTGTGATAGTAAAATTAACTTTGATTAGTTTTCGTTTACTCGTTTCGGAGGTTTTGTCGGTTCTGGAGCCATTTCGCTGTAGAGATATAATAATTACTAACGCGGAGAGAAAATTATTCTTGACGACGACGTGAAAGGTGAAACACGTACTATACTGTATTATTTTGCACGTGGACACAATATGGTCGGTTACCATCGATAACTTGCAGATTTAAAAAAGCTGTGCTAGGGTAGTGGGGACGGGTGTAGCCACTGTTGTAGGCGAGAGGTTGGGGAAATAGGATACAGACGGGAATTCAATGTATATCTGTAAATAATGTATATAATGAAAAAACGATTCTGACCGGAGTTCAGTTGATAAAGTGTTGCTTTGTCAACAATATATATGTGTCATATTATGATACAATAATTACAGATACATTAAACATTTACTTTAAAAATATATTTTGTTTCATATTGTACCTATTTTCCCGTTCTTCTGTTTTTTTTTTTTGATTTTTCCAAAAAAACTTCTAAAAAAATCAAAAAATGATCTCCCTGAATTTACATCCCCAGTGCTATCATTGTGTATCAGAGCAAAATTTCTGGTAGAAAAGTTATTCACAGATAAAAACAAAAAAAAAATTAACATCATTGTAAAATCATAAGCTTCTTCGCCCCACTGGCCCACTCAGAATTTAAAATGACACATATAATACAAAACAAAATAACGATCGTAAATATTTTACAAGATACAAATTTAGCAGCGGTTTGAGTTTCGGGCGATCGAGTATGATTGATGTACATGGTGTCCTATACAAAGATATGAACATTGTGATGATATCTTGGAAACTATTAACTTCTTTCGAATTAATTTCCCGACCGTTTAAACGCCGCGCGTTGTTCCGCCACACAAATGATGTTCTCTCCCCCTACGGCCCTACCCAAACTTGAAAATTGAATATCTCGTCAACGGGATGACGTAAATCAAAAATGTCAACACTGAAACATATTCAAACTATTACTCCGTCTATTTATGGAGTTTTTCAATATAAGTTATTTCCATTAAAAAATCAATAGTATAGTCAGCCCCGAAAATGAAGGTGACAAAAAATAATTCAAACGTAACATTTTAAAGCTACTTGTTTCTTAAACTGTCGAACAAACAAAATTCCGAAGAAAGTTAATACTTTCCAAGTTATCGCAATGATTTTATCTTAGTGGCACACTCTGTGTATAATATAGAATCACGAAATTATTTATCACTTCGTAAAGTTGTCGAGAAAACTTGTGGTTTAGAAAGAAAAATACTTTTTGGACTGGTGAAAGACATACGCCAAGTAATGGTGAATGGAAAACAAAGAAATACGTGGAGACGGATAAACACTCTTCCGAATATCGAATATATACTGGTCAGTGGTCACGATAAGAATTAAAGTCGCTATAGTTGGAGAGCGCGAGTGAAAACCCATTCATACAAAAAAACCGCCCGTACGCATAAAATAGCGCTTGAAGAAAATTTTACTGGGAAAAAAACCGATTATTGGAAGACCACATTTGAAATGGGATGATGTGGTAAAGAATGACGCGGAAAACGGATAAGGAAAACTGTAGGCAAGGTCGTTAAATGAGACAGTCCTACAGTGGTCGAGTACGCCCGTAAGAAGGGGAAAAAGTGAAGTTTTCTCGCCGTCGCGTTTTGTTCTATATAATTTATATTTTTATTCGGTCCAAGTTTTTGCTACGGGAATATTATCGATCGTACCACGTGACGGGGAAAACGTTTGTAATTTAACACCTCTATAGGTAATACCTGCACTATTGAGCAGACAGCAAATTCCGTTAAAAATATTTTATAAATGCTTGCGGCAAGAAGAGAGGCAATCGGTGAATTTGTTTAACTACGTGCGTATTTCGCAGGCTTCCTCTACAATAATTAGAGAGGACGATTTTTTTTCTTCCGCTAGATTCCTATAGATGCTTGTGCGCAACCAGGATTCATTTTCGGGTGGAGTCGTGGATTTCATAGTTTTCCGGATAATAGATTACTATAAATATTATATAATTGTGACGTTCCCGACGCGTACGCGTATTCAAAATTATAAGAAAATATTTGTGATCACAACGCAAATTATGCAACTGTATTATATATACGTATTGCGTCAATGTTTGTAAACATAAGATGCACGTATACCACGGTTCGCGTTCTGTAAACTATACAAGGAAAAATCGTCTGCGCGGGTGGTGTAAACGTTGATAAACGTTAATGTAAGTATATACCTAAGTGTAAAACATATTAAAAAGATAAATAGTATAATAATAAAAACAAATTATTTACCAAAGTTATAGCATATAGGTAGATATATGTAAAATGTACAAGTTAATGTAAATATAATACGAGTGTAAAACTTATTATACGAAAAAAAAAAAAAAAAAAGTATAATAATAAAAACCGAATTATTTTTCCAAATCGTGGCACATGAATTTGATAAACTCGTACCGTGTGAGCCAACCAGATTTGCATTGTGTAATTTTAAATTGATTTATTTCTTACCACTTCAATACTGAGTATTCTTTCGACAATTTCAAAACTTTTTGTAAGTACTATTGATTTTAAGATACATTTTGGTCTGGATTTCATTAAGAATAAAATCCAACCATGAAATGATAGACAATGATTTTGTACTGAAATTATTATTAAAGTGCGAGCGAAATGATTCGCACGTATTTGTTGTTAATCTTTTGCCATAAAATCAACGAAACAGTCAGAAACTTCTTCAGACTTTAAAAATACTAAACCAAATATATTATCTAACCAAGTACCAATAATTAATAAACTATCATTGTAATCACTGACTAAACCAAATGTGTGTATGCTTTACCATTATGACTGCATGAGGTGAAATCTACAACTAATTATATGACTAGAAGGCCAAACTTCTGCAATAGCAATATGTATTAAAATTTCAAAATCAATTACTATTTTTTTGGGTAAAAAAGTTTGTCTGATTTAATTACACTTATTGATAATTTGGTTAAACGCAAATGCATAAGTTTCCGGGCATCAAACAACATTTTTTTTTTTTTTTTTTAATATGTTTTACACTTAGATATATACTTACATTAACGTTTATCAACTAAAAGATTAAGTAACAATTTCAATAAAAAAAAAAATACAGTAGTACCAAAATGTTATTTTCGTTTATGATGAATTATATTACTTTGGGTGAAACCAAATCATTATTTTTTGGGGAGCACATGAGTTGCGTCCCGTAAAAAAGGTATACATGAATTACGTCCCAAAAAATCCGGGATGCAATTCGTGTATTTTAATCAGGAGTTCTTAAACTAAAATAAATAAATAACAATTATAAATATAATCATAATCAATCAAAAATTGGTCTATCGAATGTAATAAAAAAAATAAATGCTAAATCACTTAAATCTAATCAAAATCAATAGTCCGTAATATTATAAAATAAATAAATAAATAATAATAATGATATCAATCAAAATGCCAGTAAAAAAAATAATAGTAATAATAATGATGCGAATTTGTTTATTGTTGCTTATCAATCAGGCATCGGTAACAAAATCTATCCATTATCGCAATTTATATAGCTAATATTAGGCACTTAATATAATAAATCGAAACATAATATTAGGCTCCTTAATAATTAATATGCGAAATAAAAATCTACTACCTAACCAATATAGTGGGACGCGGTGTGTAAAAAAGGACAAAACCCATATTTTTTGGTGCGAAATCGTGTTGCGTTTTTCGAAGGTAAAAAAATCAAATGGGCGCAATTGCGCGCGGCGGAAGTGACGAAGCATATACGTGTATTTGCAAAGGTCCCAGGGGTACTTGTTTTTGAAATATTACGTTGTAATCCCGTCCGTTTAAAATATTGTACTATCTCGGGCCAGACATAATGACGTCGTCGCCGGTCGGTTCGCGGTTGGCATAAATAATTTCCAGAGCCAAATAATTGTGTATGGAATACGAGTTTCCCGTGGGATTTACAGACAAACGGACAGGCAGACAGACAGACAGAGATTATAATATACAAAATACGTGCGTATAACGAACGGTCCGAGCTATGAAATTTAACAGATTGGCAATAATGCAGCACAATTTTTATTTATTTTTTTCAACCTTATTCGTACCCGCGTTTACTGCTAATAAGAAATATGTACAGACATGGGCTCGCGATAATAATATGGGCAATATCGTTTTTGGCGTGTGCACGTCGATAAAGAAATATCGCACGTACCTAAATATTCGAAAAACCTGTGAAATCGTATAGGATTACGAATTTTTAAGAAAAAAAATAACACAGATTCGAAAACAGCACGTCATCGTCATCGATAGCGTAATTGTTATTTTAGTACACCATCATAATAGTATCATACGAACATACGATGGAAGGCTATACTAATCCGGAACATAAGAATCCTAAATGCAATATTCCAGAAAGCAATAATCCGGAACGTAAAAATCCGGAAAAATATCAATGGTCTCAAGAACAAACGTTGTTATCACAAATTCTTCAACATTTCTACAACGCAATAGACGAAAAGGGGCCGATGGAAAACTCGGGAAAGTAGGCAAAATAATCAGGGAAGGTAAACGCTTCGAATCTAAGGGGTCAGGCGAAGGAAAAAGGTCGGCGGGAATAACAGCTGCTATTGGCGTCATATTATTGAAAAGAATGGAGATTACCGTTTTGAAACCATTAGTTTTTACTTAATTACTACCAATTTGTCGCACGATCGCAAAACGACATCATGTTATTTTATAATTTTATTGTTTTTTTTGTTGATTTTTTAATAACATTTTATAATAAATGTTATAATAATCCATGTTTTTAACTAGTTTCAACGGAAATATTTTTATCCTAAAATTCTAATGAAATTAAACTACTTACAAAAATATTAAATTGTTTATTCAATTATAAACTAAAAAAAACGTTAAATATTTTAAAAATCGGTCCACGTCTAAAAAAAGGCTGGTATAAATATTCGGTAAAAGTTTCTGGCCTTTGCGATGAATTTCACAGAATCACGACCGAAAAACAAAATTGAAAATAACATCGACCGTATTACGTAAGAATTTCCGATTTTCTGCCGTCTTTTCCCCATTTGGTGAGAAAATTATGCAAGGGTAACCGAAAAATGGAAATCTCTCCGATGTACCAACTAGTCGAAATTCACTACCAGAAACCACCCCTGAAATCGACGATCGGAACATGATTCGCGGTAGAAAAGTCGTTGACTGATGTAAAACAACAAAAGCACACGTCATAATATTATTGTAAAACCGATACATCGCTATACGCTCGATAGTCAAAAAACTAACGGCACTTTCGAAATCTCGAGGCGAAGTTTTTTTCTACACGGTCCGAGCATTTAGACCGGGGCCGGCTAACAACACACACTCGTATTGATGTAAAACACTCATGGCCACTAAATGATAACAACGTCTGTGAACTAGCTGCTTTGTGACAACCAACCCGTGTAACAACCAGCTCCAGTTTCTACCCTGAACGTATCGAATTTCAAACGGAAATCTATTATGTAGGCGATTTTTTTTTTTTTTTTTTTTTTTATGTACAAAACGAAACGTTACGGATAACTTGCGAATCGTTTTTCATGCAATAGAACGCATTATGGTCGACCAATGCGCGCGTTCGGTCCGAATTCTATTTTCAATACAACAGTATTATTTTACACCACTGTCCCGCGTCTGCAAACCGTACAAATATAATAATACTTTGATTCGGGTACGCGGACGGTAATCCGCGGGGAAGCGATTGACGTCATTCGGAAACCGTGAGTCGACGGCGACGTTTCAGCTCTGCAAAATGCCGCGAGAGTCGTAATAACATAACGCGACGTGCACGTATTGTTTTCAATAGGCGTTTAGACACCGGGTGGTCGGAAAAACGCGCGTAAATCGGACCGATATTTCGATATCGTTATATTGTTGTCGTTCCGTCGGACGTTGCGGTACCACGTTCGGTTTGATACGGCGTCACGGGCGCGCGCGTTCTGCGGGATGACACGGCATTTGACGACGGCATTTGGTGACGGCCACAACAACGCACGATGTTATTAATCGTGACGACGGCCTGCAGCGCGCGTCGCACGCGACTCTCACCGGTCGTCGTCGCGGTTTCCTTCGAATGCATCGCGGAATGCAAACTGCCATCATCCTCCGTTCGTATGAATCGCCTTTGTCCCTTTTGCCGATAAAAGTGGAGAAAACTAGTCTTGTTTTCACATCAAATGATGCCTCAGCCCCTCCCCCCCCCCGCATAGATTCCGTCATTTCCGTCATCGCCCACATTGCCCACCACTCCTCGAGATTTTCCTTTTTTCTTCGACCCATTCCCCGGTTTTTTCTTTGCGAGGGTACTTCAGTTTTGATTTTATATTTTTCAATCAGCATTGTCCGACAAAATACTGTAAACATAGAGTCGTTTATTAAAATAGTCAAACCGCGGGTTACTGCAGCAGTGTGGCGCCTCGCGCTTTGTATTCGTCCTAGTGGACAAGTATACGTTTCTTAAGAAAATTCGCGAGCAAAAACATTTAATTTACTTTACTTTCTACAAGGGCAGATCCTGCACGGTCTATTTACGGAGGAAGCGTTTAAATTAGAGAAATTCCTACTATGCTGCATTTTATACTATTAACGAAAACGTGTATACGAAATGTGTGTAATATAACCCCACCTATTATACAATTATATTAAAAAATCATATTATCGATAGTGTTGTCAATTATGTACATTATTACGAATAAAATATTTTTATTTAGTACGCCATAATAATGAAATGTGTTAAGTAAATAGAAATATAATTGGTTTTGTTTTTTGTAAACGGGAAGGGGCATTTGTCCCCACAGCTGGGCCCTCCTGGATTCACTCTTGTGTGCGAATTAAATTCGAATTTTCACTAATACATACCCTTAATACGTTTTCGCGGCGTTGTTGCGATAAAAGCAGTTCGTCGATAATATTATATTTTCTGGAACTTGTCGAGAAATTGAGCGAGTTACATCGAAAACTTGTGACGCACGTCACCGAAGATTTGTAAACGATAATGATATGCATAAAGATATATAGATGTCGACAATTCGTCTTTATACACATCATATTGGACGCCAATTAATAGTTGCAGTGCCTGTAGTTAGAAATATATATTCTATAACGATTCTATAGAATGATGCATTGGTTTTCTTATTACGACCCGATTTAGGTATGGGTATAATTGAAAATAGAACTATAATGATGGTTTAAATTTAAAAACTTAATATTACGAAATAATACTGTCTATATATAGGAGTATTTTGTGGTTACGATAACGAACGTTTAATATTATTCGTTATACACGGACTAACATTGTTTTCTTTTTTTTCGGCGCCGTCGTTGATTTATCGTATTATGTTATTATTACTATAGTATTATCATAGTGCTCTTGAAAAAAAATCACTTGAAATCACGTAGGAAGTTCTCGCCGCCCGCCGTCGGTTCGCGGATGACTTACGCATCATTATTATAACCGTACTTTCGTTATGATTTATATACACGTCGTCACACAGTAATAACGCCGGCAATGGTTGCGAAATCGATCTTAATTTATAATTAAATTATTGCGGAACGCGTTTATATTCCGAACGAAAACGACAATAATAACAATAAATGATTGCACGATAGTCTTCGGCAGGTTTATTTTTATACTATTTTAGTATGGGCGAAAACTACACAAGTCCGGATTAAAGGGCGTACAGAGGTGGAGGTGTCGCGGCATGTATAGGGTCCGTAAAGTGTCGTCAGTTATTCGTAATTATGAATAAAAATTGAAGCGCTCATTGCGACAACAAAGCAATTTTTTTCCGGAATTAACTACTTTTTATAATAATTTCGAACAAAGCAATAAAAGTGCTACACAATCCGGCACAAAAATAATGCGAGTCCGGCGTCCGTCTACTATCAGACACGGAGAAAATAGTGACATGGATTTGTCTGGTCCGACCGAATTCTGGGCGAAATGATGATAAGAAGTCCCAAACTCCCATAAATACCAACATATTATCTACAGTTTTTTTTTCTTCGGCTGAACGATTTCGTTTAATGATCGTTAGACATGTTCATTTTCAAGTGTGGCCCACTCCGACCACACACCGGACCCTTCTGACCCAATCTGGCCTTAATTTGGCAAACTACACATAATATTAGTTGTAATATCGTTTGTTCGGGAGTCGAATCTACAATATCTATCGAGAATCCCTGCAAATCTATGTGAATCGCCATGTCTACCATATTACGGATTATTGTAAAACGGTATACTTTCAGCTTTTTACGAGACATACACTTAAACCAGGTTTCAAATAATCAATACATTTTATCATCAATATAAAAACTATAGGTGGAGGTTACATACGAATCGACGGCATCATTTGAGCGGTTTTGAAGCGTTTTAGTTTATTTGACTTTTTACGAGACCAGTTGATGATTTACGAAATATTTACTAATGACGAAACGAGAACGGTCTTCGAGAAGCGATTCCTTTTTTAAGATTTATGGATGCTATAAAATATGAAAATAACTAAACATTTGTACTCGTATATTACTAATTTAGTAAAAATAGGTGAATGTATATTGAACATTTTGGAAAATATTAATGGGCAGATAAGGTATACAGGTTGTTTCTAGGGGTTATTTTCGTTTCATTTCGCAACTGATATTGAAGACATAAGGTCAAATCCTAACATCCTCCATTGAAAAAAATAAAAAAAATGTTTATGCACAAACAATTTATTATAATATATTTAAAACTATCGTTACGTAATTAGTAATTTAATTAGATTATGAAGGGTGTAGGCTATAAGAAATAACAAAATTAAGGAAAAAAGTATCGTGTTGATTTTTATTTGTTTTAGTGTTATTGTAATTTGATATTATTTGAAAACACCATGATATAAAATTGCGTACGAAGCGATCGAATTTTGTTTTGCTATTTTTTTTTTTTTTTTAAGCGTTTAATTTTAATTATTGCAGTACCCACACTATAATATACTATACATTATGGAGTTCTGCGATGCGTATTATACTCTGTAATCCGTATAGCAAAACAACGAAAACATTAGTCATGACTCACGGTTTACAATTTAGATTCTCAGCCAAATAAAAAAAATATTGGCTTTAGTGATTTTACTGCGTGACACTTAAGTGCTGTTTTTTTTTCGATAAGTTCAAATATTTAAGAGTGCAACGAAATGAACGGACGGTGAGAAAAATCCACACACCGGAAAATCCAATTTCGTCTCGTTTTCGTCACGATCGACAGGTTATAAGGCACCTATGCGAAAAACAATAAACGACTAAATTTTTCAAAACTTTTCGGAAAAAAAAAATTAAAAACGAATTAAGTTAATAAAGTGAAATCGATTTTCAAATAATTTTAACTACTTTAACTCATGATAAAAAAATATGCCGTTTTCCCTTAAATTTTTAACCACAGTATCATATTATTCGTCGCAGTTTTAAAACTAATTTATTTAAACATATCTATACGATTGAATGCACCATATTCCCTCAGACACCGAAACAAATTTAAAAATTTCAATGGAAAATAAAAAAAACCAGATTACCTCAAATGGAAAACACGATACTACATAATTCTTAAACATACAATTGATATTTCGTCTGCAAGTCTGGTCTTTTTTATCAATTGATGTACGCTATACAAATCCACTGTTTTATTCCGATCTTGATAAAATTGTACACACTTGATATTCAAAATAAAAGGAAGATCGTTGTCTACTTCTTATCAGGAAATTTAACCCCAAAGAGTAACTTACACACAGAGTTATTGGTATTTTTGGAACGAGTGATTTTATTAAAACGAAAATATTTATTGATTTACGGGTTACATTGACGACACGCGGATTAAAAAAAAAACACTGATTATTATTTTAATTTGATTATCTCAAAAAGTAAACTGTTTACTACCCGGAAACAACGGATCAACAATAGAACCGAGAGGTTACGTTAAATTGGATTTCTCTTACTGATTTCTGTTTTTAATTGAATTGAGCCCGGAAAATACCGAATAATTCGGATATACAGGCCAATACCATAATAGATTTTCTGTATACCGTAATAGATTTTCTGCATACAGGTGTTGGTTAAAGCTGTTTTGTTCTCCATCGTGGACTGCGTGCAGATATACGACTACCGATATCGTTATCGTTTCGTGAAAACCCGATTTTCAATAAAAATGTCACCGCGTCGTCTCGTGTTCGCACGCGCCCATTCGATTCGTATACGCGTATAGTGCGGCCGACTTTCTGTCGTTTTTTAAACGATTTCTCGGGCATGCACATTCGCCTTATTAACTCGGCTCGTCGCGGGTTATCGATTTTCTCAAATGGGCTTTACTGCCGGCATTCGCGTTATACGCAAACCATCGTCGACAGAATTGAAGACGTACCTTCGCCAGCACCGCGTGTACTTCTTTTATAACATTAGCCATTAAGAGGACACCAAGACTTTTTTGAACGAAATTTTCTGTGTCTAAATAAACACACGATAAAGTCGATAATGGACACTCAGTAGAGTAAGATTTTTCGTACTGTGTATGTGTTACCAGTAAAAATGATAGTAAACGAATGAATTTGTTGACTTAGTAACATAAGATTTTATTTCATATAGGAGGCTGAGGGTATTACCGGTAGGAGGAGTATTAACCTATAAAAATCCAAAGTGGTAAGAGGAAAGTTTATTTTGTTCGCTCGCAAAGCTTTTTTGAGGACGAAGGTTGAGAATCACCTACGAAATGGTTCACGGGTCAAAACAAAAAATCGTACGAATTAGTATCGGACGTAAAAAAAAGTTTAATCACGGTTTATATTTTTTATGGGGAAATTTAAACCGTTACAGTATCTTCAAAACATAGTAAACTTCTAAATCTATCAAAATCCGATTTCAAAATTAAAATCCGAAAAACCCAAATCCTACAGTTTCATCTATAACTAAAACTTCTATCTATAACTATCATAATATTTGTCAACTATTGCAACCGTCTTAAGTACGAATTTTTAGTAGGCTTTCTAGATAATCCTAATTTTGTATAAAACTGGAAGAAAAATAAATTGTTGATGGTTTTTTAAATTCTGTTTTATTGCTAAAACAACTGCTGTTCATCGGAACCAATTCATATGTTACCTGAAAAAGACCACATGCGGGAACCAATTCGGTAATTGCAGAGAACCAACTTGTAGGTGTCCGAAAAATGATATGGAGGACGTACCTAGTACCCCCATAAAGGGAGTCTTCGTCTTACACTCGTGCAACACATCAAATTTGCGTTCATCAGGGACAACTTTATGCGGTTCATTTTAATTTTATTAGAGTAACCATTCTAGAAACTATAGTAGAAGTTTGATTATAGATAAGAACGTTATCTGTGCAGCTGCGTCAGTTTTTTTCGAAATTTAAATGTTTAAACGAAATATTATATGAGAGTACGCGAATTATCGCGATGTCTTAAAAACGTCATTTTCGTTTCGAGTGTTTTATTATTATTGGTAATAATGTCGCGCGCGACTATAGCAGATAAACACTCGAAAACAATCCTTCACAAAATAAAAAAAAATCGCTGACGTATCGCTTGTGTCCGACGAAATATGAATTGGAAAAAAAAATCAATCAAAGAAACTACTTGCATACTCGACTGTAAGATATATTTTGTTTCGACCTACGCCGTCGCCGTTTGCAATAATACGAATTATCAATAATTCGATGTAACGATTGTTGACGCCTACGTTGGTGTTTTTTCCCCGCAATTTGTCGATAATACATGAATAAACATTAGCAGTATCGAGACAATATTTTGTATTACTTTATCACTTAGTATACGATTTTTAGTCGGTTTATCGGTTGACCACATCGGCGCAAACAACATCAACGTCGATTGTACTTAATACACACGCATAATATTATTACTATAATATACGCGACGAGTGGGTAGGTAAATATACGTGAAAAAAAAAATGTTCTAAAAATACATTTGTTTTTTAACCTATACAAACAATAACAGAAGTTTTAACAAATAACAAAACCGGCGCCATCGCCGTCGCGCCGATGAAACAACAAACCCGCAGTGAATTTAATATTATAATATTTTTCATGATAAAATCGTCCACATTACTCGTTTCGATTTTTGTTAAAAGTGATTTTTGAACGGAAATACTTTTCCTGTAACGAAAATTAAAATTGAAAAGGCGATTCATTTGACCAGTGTTGAATCCAGATATAGGTACTCCAAATATATTGGAATTTCATTCGTCCCCTCCCCACCTGATAAATACAAAATATATTTATGGAATGAACAATGGTGTTTATAATAGTGACTATTATTAAAAATGTTATCGAAGTGTAAATCGGACTTAGTTCGTTGAAAAAAAAAGATAACATGAAAAATAGGTTTTATAATAGGTTGTATTTTATCATTTTTAGAACAGATAATAATATAACATGGATCATAGATTTAATGATACTGCGATTAATCTTATAGTAAAGTGTCCAATATTTGAAAATTATAACATGTACATTAACGAATGAATCAGAAAACTGATTAAACAATTATGTCTGAAACGACTGTGTCTGATTATGATAAAAACTGTATATTATAATCTCAGATTTCAAGTTTTTAAATATGTAGATTTTAATACAAAATAAATTGGTGGAATCCTATATATGAACTTTTTAAATTAATATTGTTTATCAAAACTTATGATTAGGGCTCGGAAGTTATAGGAGGTAAAAAAAAGCAAAAAATGCACGAAAAAATTGTAAAATATGCACAAAAAAATGTTAAATATGCAAAAAAATTATTTGAAGCTTATTATTAAAAAATATGTACTGTCATTATTAATATACAAAAGATAAAGATTAAATTTTAATCGCATTGTTGTCATTAAATCCCAGCAATGCATGACTTTTTTATTTGTTTTTTTCCATATATTGAGCACTTTCATTTACAGGAAAAACAAACAAAATTTTTTTTAAAATCCTATCTAGATAAAAGTCATTTTTTTACATTGTTGCCTGTTGGCGACATCGTACACTCATGGTCATAATTATTTTTTTAAATAATGTTTTTTAGACAATTCAAAACATTGTAACCTACAGATAACATAATTCATAGTAGAGTTAATAGTAGACTGAAACGATAAGAAATAACAATAAATAACTACGTTAAATAATATTGAGTTTTATATTCAATATTATTTAAAACGCATTGGTTAAGAAAGAAAAAGAACAATTTTTTTTAACAAATACTAATTATGCATAATATGCGTAAAAATATGCGAAAATCAATGAAATATGTACTTTTTCTCTGACATTAACGTAATATGCAAAATATGCATTTCAAATGTTCGATTTTCGTTTAAATCTCCATTGTATAGAAAAAATGTCTAGCTTATCTAGAATGTCTGCTATAAACCCAGTGCATACAAGAAAATATCCGAGCCTTCTACTTATGATAAATAGTAGAATCAGTTATATATATATATACATATATAACAGTAGCAGTGGCAATCGCCACTGCTACAGTTATATACATATATAACAGTAGCAGTGGCAATCGCCACTGCTACAGTTTAACGATCATTCAGTGCAATGAATCAAGGTATGTTAAAACTTCGAAATCGGATCCTGATGGGAAGAAACCTAGGAATATTCCATGGAAATAAGCGTCGAAGGCGAAAAAAACCCGCCTCAGTAGTTCATCGAAGAGACAATCAATTTGTATGCAAGACAAATTCGTCGCATTAGTCTCGTTAAAAAAAAAAAAATAATAATGTTTCTAATTGGCATAAAATATTTATATATTATCATATTATGTTAAATGTACTGCTGAATCAATTGTAATAAATTAAAAACTAATAAATAATAATAATAATTTATATAATACTAAAATGTATGATCAATAATAAATGAGACCCCCCCCCAGAAAAATTGTCTGGATTCAACACTGCGTTTGACGGACAATAATTTTGGAAAATTATGCGGATGTTGACGGTGTAAGCGGCGTTTTTCGAACGTGTTAAAAAAAACCTCGAGTCGAAATATCTCGAAACGAATAGAATAATATTATGATGATTTAGCGTAAAAACATCCTGCGACGAAAATTATAAGAAACGCGACATGGAGTTACATTGAAATACCTTATCCGGATAATGCGCGGTTGTCATTAATTTTCAAATTTGAAATAAATTCTATAATCACACGAAGTTAGGTAGTTATAGGTAGGTATACGTTAAGGTGAGAATCATACTTCTTTCAGTTTATTACGCAAACGTGATGTTTAAGAACAAACATACGAATATTTCCGTCGCATTTATACGATAATAAATATAATACTGAGATAAAAAATCCGGGACCGTTTTTAAATCCCAACGATAATGAATTTCAGTGTTTCGGCTGCATCGATCAAATTGTATTTTTCTCAATTGCCGTTACAAATGTATTGATTATACACGACCCATTAAGACGTAAACGTGTCGGTGGTGCGACCATAACATCTACAAACATAACTGCCGATTACTGCTGATGGGTACGCCATTGTTGAGAGTGAGAAATTGGGCAGGTAGGATGCATAAACTTGTTTATATCTGTAAGAGATGATAAATCATTGCTTGACAAAAGACGATTCCCAGCGCAGTTCGATAATACACAAGTTGAAGTGTCCTCATTTTTTTTTATTGCGATTTTCGTTTAAATTTGATTTCAAAACGCTTATTTAAAAAAAAAAAAGTCGTCCGATGATTTTAGAAATCTTACCACATCTAGGTAAGTCCAATATAAGTATTATTACCAAGTTTCAAGTCTCTACGTGTATTTATAACCGAATTACAGCAAAAACACTCCCGAAAATTAAAATTCCCTAAAAGCTCAAAAGTTTTGGTAATGATACCGTAAGAAAGTAAATCAAAAAAAACAACAGGCAACAAAAAAGTGTCTTGTGATTTTTCGATTAAATCATTTTTTCTGGTAGGAAACATCGTTCGTGTTTTTATAAAATAATGAAATCGTGAAATTGTACGTTTTCTCAAGTTTTTTTCCACTCAAGTGCTTTTATTTAAAAAATGGCATTGAAAATCAAAACATGACTTGTTTAAAATACCATCTAAACCACTTGAGTTTTTAGAAAATTTGCTGCACGTAAAAATCGGAGCAAGTTTACTCGGAAAAACCGTGTACATAGACTAGAAGAAAAAAAGAAAGAAAGAAACAGCATTGTAAAACGAATAGTTCCCAAGCTACGTTCGGAATCTAAAAGATAAAAGAAAAAATGTCAAAATGTTTTAAAAACCGTAACACGTCTGGAACGGGCTAATCGGTTTAAATTTACAGTCTCGGCGGTTAATTTTTACTGAATTACAGAAATTAGAAAAAAAAAAAAAAAACGAAATCGGAAACAACAGAAACGGTTATTGCGCAGTTCTCGATTTTTCCCAATTTATTATTCGCTACAGACCGCAAGACAAAAGGCCCGCCCAACGCACCGGACCGAACGACATTAATTACCGGAGGAACCGAACGCTCGGAGTTGATGCCCGGAGCAAGATTTCTGATATATTTTAGAAAAATTGTTTGCGAAATCTGCGCAACGCAGTAAGACCAATACACTTCTCGGTAGAATCTAATAATACAGCAAGTACCTACGCACGAGTCGGTAACGCGTAATTTATCGGAAATCAATGAACTAAACCATCATTCAACCGGCGATCTGCGTATTGATAAACAGCAAAACAAAAAAAAAACAAACAAACTACAAATTAACTAAAAAATAACAACGATGATTATGTTGTTTAGTAAAGCGTCGTTTAATTATTATTAGTATACGTCGTGTATTGCATAATGTACAATAATACCGAGGAAAAATAAAAACGGAACCTCGCGGTAACCCCGGACGGCGCGGCGGTTGTGAACTTTGATTATCAACGCGACCCGCGGTCTATAAATAAACCGTGTAATTATTATTGTTATTATCATTATTATTATTGTTGTTGTTGTTATCAGCTCCCGTTAGTTTTTACGCCGCGCCTTGAACGGACGCGGTTTTTCGCATCATTTGATCGCGGCCGTCAGTTTCGCGTTCAATTATTCCCCCGTTGACGGCGGCGACGGGCCACGGGCGGCACAGGGCAGCAGGCGCCCGTCGGAAGGGATCCGACGACGCCGACACGGTGGTCGACCATTCGCGCGCGGGCGTCATCGGCGAGACACGACCCGATGACGTCACGGCGCGTATGACGACCCCAACACCGGATCGAGTGAGCCGCCGAATTTTACGAGCGCGCACAAGTGCGAGCAGCCGGCGGCGGCCGTCCAGTCAAAACGTTATTAATTTATTTTTAATCGACTAGTGTTCGCCGCAAAACGAAAAAGCGATTCTGAGCGGAGTTCGGTTATTAAAAAACCGAGTGCAATCTAAACTCAAACGGTTATAAACGCTTGTAAAACAATTAAAAAAAAAACTACTATATAGATAACGTGCGACTTTGTTTTGATTTTCACCGCCGAGTACAACTTATGACAAGACCCTTTGTTGTATTTTTTCGGGCATTTCAAAAGAATTCTATTCGCGTAAAGCCGAACGAAAACTAAAAATCCTCGGAAAAGACGAAAGAAACTTGAAAATCGGAGCAAGATTGTTGGCAGGAAAATTGTTGGTAAAAAAAAATCACAGGAAAACCTCCGCTTAGAAGCCAAAAATATTAAACTTGGACACTGATATTTTTTTGACCCGATATAGTATTGTCCAAAACTTTCGAAAATATAATCTCTTTTGAAAATAAACAGCGAGAAATTACGCGAAATGCGACGGAATAAAATTATCATTTGTATTGTTAATATTTATGACCGGATTTTATTTCAAATTTAAATTATCCGGTACAAACATATCTTTTATAAACTATTATACAACGATAGGGTGGCGAAATGTTGGCGATTCTGTTATTTTATCGTTATAATACGTGCATTTTTTTTTTTTTTTCATTCTGACATTTTTATTGTTTTCCATTAATTTATTTTGTGGTCCGGGCTAAATATCGTTTACTCAAAATCCGCAGTTCGGTGTAATTTTGTGCAGCTCGTTTTTGCATAAGCCGACACCGACAGAAATATTGTTCGGTCGAGATATTTTCGGGTGACGTGGAAATTACTGCATTTTTTTTTGTTTTTGTTTAGTGATTTTGTACCAGCTTTAGTATTTCGGTAAACTTTCCTTTCCTTTTTTTCCTTAGAAAGAGAAACACCAAAAATACCAGAACACTAATTTAAAATCCCATTTCCTACTGCGGTAGGTGCATTTTGTTGTTTTGGTACAATTCATTAATGACAAATTGAACGTTATGGGTTTTTCTTCATTTTTTTCATCAGTCAACGATAAAAATTCCACTGGAAAACAATTGTTGGTACATTCATTTTTTTTTCTCAAAAGGAAAAGGAAACAAAATAAATAAAAAAAAACGTATTGAACAATAAAAAATAATATTTTATTAATTAATATTTTATTATTACAGTTTTATTACAAATTAAAATGTAAACACATTTTTTTATTCCGGCACTTATACGTAAAATAGACTTAGAATTACTTTTTTTTTTTTTTGCGTACAGACAGAAAAACAAAAATAAATATTAAGGTTGATAATGAATGATAATGAAAACAATTGAATATTTTTTTTTTTTTTGGTAATAAATAATAACTATGGTTTAAAATAACAATATATTATTAATTTTGGGTAGGTTGACATTTTTATTTTAATTTAAGTACATTTTTTTTTTTTTTTTTTTTTTTGAAGTTCCAAAATAATTGTTATAATACTGTGTAAAATAATAATAAATTAGTCTATCAATCAGTCTAATTCAATGATTTTGTTTTAATGGAAAAAACTGGTGATAACATTCGTTTTGGTATCGAGACACGACAGGAAAATAACTTAATAAAATAAAAATAATAAAAAGACTAGTTTTTTTGTTTTCTTCAAAATACATAATTAAACGTAACAAACATTATTTTGACTATTGTATAATGTATATTTGAAAGGACAAGTTATTATCACATTTAGTATTGTAACATATCGTGGTTTCTAGACAAGTGGTGTTTTTTTCATGTTGGATTGGGCGCCGTTGTGTATAATTTAATTACATTTTTTTTCTATGTCGGAATCAATATGATATTCATAAATATATTGAAAAAATAATAATTTAGTTTCATATTGTAATTACAATTATTATTATTATTACGAATTCAGTTAATTAAATGTAATAAAAAAAAAAAAAAAAAAAATGAACTATTGCGCGAAGACGAATTAAAAAGATATTAAATGAATTACCATCGTAGTTGCGATAAAATAATACTATAAATAAAATATAATTAGTTTTAGATTAGATTGTGAATATAAGATAGAATTTTTATGAGTTAATTGAAAAGTAGATAGTATTTTGACAGGTTTTTTAATTTTAATTTGTTGTTTTTTTTTTTCAGAATACGTTATTAAAATTTATGACGAGAAAAAATGGGCTATTGTTAATTTAATACGGTTCGTATAATATGAAAATAAAGAAGAAATATTAATGATCCGGCGCCCAAATGTAAATATAGTAAATATGGTTTTTTTTCATGTTGTAGTAACCCTATTTACCTAGTTTAATACAGATAAAAGCTGAATATCTTAAAAAAATAGTAACAAATGTATCACAGATTATATGGTTGATTAATTTTTACCTATTATATATTAAACAAAACAGAGCATCAGACTTAACTTACCAACCCATTAAAATAATTTTTCATTTATGAGATAATAATATAATATAATAACAGCCTAATGAAACAAATATATATATGTTAAGTACAGTCTATTATTGAGTATCCAGGTGGGACATATCATTATTATATGCTGTCCGTTATGAACGAAAACTACATTTAAATTATTTGCAAGAGAATATAATCGTTATTGTTAATATTGTGATATGGTATATTGTTTGTTTTTGTTATTTTTATTTGGTCAATCAGACTTATGGTGTGCGAGATATATTATTATTATATACACAAATTATTGCAGCCGAAATTATAATGTTATTTCCTATACAAACAACAATTTAAATTTTGTTTGTATCTTAAAAAATATTTGATCTGTGATATTTTTTTATTATCAAAAGCTTTCGAATGAAACATTTACCCCCAAATTACAGATTGATATAAATTACTATGTATATGTATTACATACGACATACATATACATTTATTTAGACATTTTATATCGATTATCAGCTAAAGTAGGCGGGTTGGTAAGAAAGAACAATAAGTGCCTACCGAATAATTATTTTTAATCTTGCCTAGAATTATATATATATCGGACTTATATGATTTCATTTGAATTGTGTCATTTATTTGTGTTTTTTTTTTTTTTTTTTCACTGATTTGACACTATCAAATTTAGCATCTTAATAATTTTTAAAAAAACCCTCATTTTTTTGATCACTGTTAATACATCAAAACATTTTCAACAATAATATAATTATAATAAAATAAATTTAAATATATTCAGGATACAAAATCTTGTTTCCTATATTGATTGATAGGCTTAAGTTATAATTAGTCGCGTACCTTCATTATTATTATTATTTTTTTTTTTTTAAAATAGTATATAGTATTCATAAAGTACTAAAAAATAAAATTAAAAATAAACCCTAATGCTGAGATAAGCCGTAAGCTGTCAATAATCGACAATATGTACAAATATATATAATGTAACTAATAAAAAATTGTTATATATGGGCTAGATATCGATTTAAAAAATAAGCTATATTATTATTTATACAATATTAAAATACTCTCTATTATAAAAACCAAAAACACATGAGGCATCGATTCAAAAGACAATACAAATTTTGAATTTTTAAAAGATGTGACATGCGCATCAAATAATTTATTATTTTTCTAAACAAAGTGCCGGCACTTACCCTCTCGCACGCAAGAGCTCACTATTATTTTTCATTGTTGACAACAGTTTAACTGTAGTCTTTTTTTTCCATGTTGTTGTTGTTTATGGAATTGTCATAGTGCAATGTTGGTGCCCAGCGGACAGGACGTGGCCATATTGGATACTGCTTGGCTTTTTGGTGTCCCGGTCAAATTCGGCACTGACCTCGGATGGTCTTCGCCTTTGGCCAAATTTCAGGATCTTCTCCTCGCGATATCCTTGCTGGAAGTCGTCGACGTACTGTCTGTGAAAAGAAAAGAAAACACAAAATACGTTTAGTCAGAAAAAAATTACAATAATAATCGGTATTGTACGAATTAAAGAACACCTCATCGCCAATAATGGTGGGTACCTATTTTATGGTGACCATCGCTGTGTGTTTGGGGGGGGGGGCGAGGGGTCGGGAATCGGTTGAGCCCCGGCGGATAATACAACACTATACCGTTCGTCAATCGAATAGCCGCGTTCGTACGGATTATAGAAATATTTTTGACCGTTAATGATTATTCGATTGTTTCGGAAGCTCTACGAGTGTCGGCATTACACTTTCGGTATTTTTTCGACGCGCAATAGCGAATAACACAACAATGTCCGTTTGATTTCACCAAAGAGAAGGTTAAATGATTAATTTTCGTCGTACGCGCCGCCAGTGGGTACCCGCGGTTAATACGGGTCGCGCGGAACAAGATGAACAGGCACAATGGAATTCGGGTCAAACGGCCGGCACAACGAACACGGAACGCAATTACGTTGCTGTTCGCCGAGCTGGACAAACGTTACACCTAACGCGGACGTCAGGTGCGTTTAATAACATCGCCACGTGTCGATAACGACAATATCAATTTGAACGGCGCGTAACGGTATCGGACCGATCCCGCGGGGCAGGCACGGTATCGAAATAGCGTCCGTGCCAGAAATAGAATATGTCGTGATAATATTCGTTACTATCATCGTCTTCACTATCGAGACGCGGGTGGGGGAGGGGAGGGGGGTGGAGAAACCGGCCGTTGAGAGTTACGTTTCCGTCGCCTGCCTACCTTGGGCGGACGAAAATAATAATGGGTGTCACCACCGTGCCAGACTTACTGTCTTTGGACTTTGACGTCAGCGACCGCCTGAGCTTGTCGACGAGCTTCGAGTGGAACATGTTCAGCGACGACGTGGACGACAGCTTGGGCGGCGACGACGACGACGACGAGGACTTGGCCGGGCTCTGCAGGCTGGACTGCGAGTTCCGCGACGAGTTTCTGGACGGCACGCCGTGGTGCTGCTGCAGGTGGTGGTGCTGCAGGCTCCCGTGGTGGAAAGTGGTCTGCTTGGACATGCCGCCGAGCGACCGGTGCGCGGGCGAGCCGACCATGAAGTCGCTACCGGGCGACGTGGACAGCGACGGGCCGTCCGCCGACCGGGAACCGCTGTGGATCCGCCTGGTGCCGCACGAGGAATTGGACGAGGCCGACGCCTTGTCGTTGGAACACTCGGACACGCGTCTGTTCCGGTTCGATTTGTAAATGTTGTAATCTTTTTTCATGACCGGCATCATGAAAGCCATAGTATCGAATTTTTTTTTTTCAAAAAATTCGGTTATAAAAAATCTACCGAGAAATGTAAAACAACGGGTATATTATGTTTTACGAATATTCGGATTTTTTTTTGTTTTTGTTTCCGTTATAAACTTTCGTCGGCAGTCGTATTTAAAAAAAAAAATAATAATAACAATCAACAATATTGTTTTTTTTTTTTTTATTAAATATCGTTGTTTTTTTTTTTCCGTATATTACGTTCACTTTCCGTAAAATATTTATGTCAATTCGATGCGGTTAATAATAAATTATTGTTAGGTGTTTGTAATTTTTACAACAATATTTTATTTTATTATCAATCAATTCGCACACAACGTCGGGAGTGTTACCGGTACGCACGTCTGTCGGCAACTGGCGGGAATTCGATTTCGGATAAGAACGCACGACGGGACGGGTATATATATGTAAGCGGCGCGCGCGTTTATATCAGAGAGAAATAAAAAAAAAAAATAAAACCGTTTCTGTAACGATAGCGATTTCGTTTCTCCACTCGACGGGTCGAACGTTTCGAACGGTGCGCGAGTCGTGACTATGTGCAACGCAATGCAACGGAATGAGAATCACTTTGGCCGTGTGACCTTTCCGTCTTGCGTGCGCGTTGCCACTACCACGTCCGCCGCCCGCGCCTCGCCGCCCGGCCGTCCCCCACCGGGCTGCCCGGCGTGCGGCGCGGCGGGGCGACGTTACGAAACCCGTCCGCGGCGCGCCGCCACCGTTCCCCCGCCGCACGCGGCCTCGGGGACGCGACGGTTACACCGGTCGGTCGGCGTCCTAAAACCCGTCGGCCGACCGTCGTGCGGATCGGCGGGTCGGCGTACGGGCGGTAGGTGAACGCGGGGCGCTGGGCATTCGTCGTCTGGAAGTTATTGATCCGAACCAACCGTACCCGCGGACCGCCGACGGTCGTCGGCCCCGTCGCGCATTGCCGAACCATAACCGGGGCCGGAACGCCCGTGCCCGTATCCCGTTTCTGTCGAGTCCGTAGTACTCACAACAACGGCAATAGATTGCGCTCGGGACACGCGCCGATATTCGGTCGTTATCTTCGATTCGCCGTTTATCCGTAATTGGCCGTTTCGGCCGATAAATATGATATAATACAGGCAGGCAAGAACAGTACAGAAGAAAACACACCGAATTCGACATTGGCTGTATTTCGTTTTCCAACTGAACGCGTACACCGTGAAACGGTGCACGTGCAAAGACTTTTTAACGCGAATTTCCCCGGCACGAAAACGATTGCGATTTTCGTTTTCCCGCAAATTACCCCGGACACGGGCGCCCGTGGCCCCGTCGGGTTAGGGTTCGGATATACGCGACGCAGTCGACGACGTGGATATAGGCGTACGTGCGTGCGGGCACGTCATCGCGTCGTGTGTAACCGCTTTTTCCACGCGTCCCCTCGTCCGCCCGCCCGCCGGCCCGGGACAAATGGCCGCCAACGGTTTCCGCCGCGCCGCGCGGCGATCGACGACAAAGACCGTCGGGCCCGGCCGACGTTATTCTACGGAATTTTACAGCGCGGGGCCGGTCTCGAGCCGTTGTTCCGCGGGGGGGGAAATCGGAGGCGCTGACGTGCGCCGCAGCTAGCAGATGGCGCGACACGTACGCGCGTTTCATTCGCCCGTACGGAATTCCAGTGGTTCCCAAACGGCCGGCCGTTGTCGTCCGCGACGGCGGCGGCGGCGGCGGCCGTGTCTCGTATATTCCATGCACGTGAAAAATATCATGTCCGTAAAATAACACCGCGATACGACGATAATAATATTGTCGTCCATGAACACGGGCTAGGACACCGATAGGTTATGGTCCGATTTTTCGGCGTACACGGCCGATTCTCGTTTCGACGTAATTGCGTTCGACCATCGACACCTAGTGTACCGTCGTTATTAATTTTAGTTTTATTTTTATTTCCCCGCTGTAGAAAAAAAAATAATAAACGGTCCGGTCGTGTGAACGTCTCGCGAAATCGTCGACATTTTCTTCCCGTCCGTTTACTACTGCGTGATTATTATTTTTCTATTGTTATTTTCTTGTTCGGCGGTGCGTCCGGGCGTTTGGTGTGTCGTCCGCGGAACTCAATCGTCGTCGGGTAACGTTTTTGCGAACACGGTGATATTGTCGCAACAATATCGTCAGGTACCCGCCGACGAGACCGTCACGAGGACGGCGCGCGCGAGTGTCTCTCCGGGCCGCGTTTCGCAGTCATTTCCCGTCGTTATTGCCGCGGTCGTCCCGAGCCGATAACCGAGGAGGAAAAAAAAAAATCCACCGACAAACCGAATCGGGTCATCGGGAAACGATGTTAATTGTGTTTTACGCGCGCGGCCGTACGTATTTTTTTTTTTTTTTTCCTCGTCGTTTCCCGTGTCGACGTGTCAATCGGAATATCGCCCCACCGACGACGACGACGACCGGTACGCGAGAGAACATTCCCGGACCGTTTATCGTCGTGTTTTTTTTCTCCTCGATATCGTTCGCCGGCGGTAATTTCGATTTCGCAGCCGGGAAAAAATGCGTCCGGGGACGAACAGAATTACCGCGCGACAATATAACGTCCGTCGTCGGTTTTCGAAGGATTTCGGTACCCACGTCATTGCGGTTTGTAGAGGAACGTACCGGTGCTGGGTGGGGGGGGGGCGGTTAATGCCGGATTTTACGGTTTTTCCGCGTCGCGCGGACTTTGCGACTCCGCAGCCGTATTCCCGTATAGGTTTCGATTAACATTCCGCCCGGAAGGCGTCTCGACAATGTTGCGCGCAGGCGAAAAATTACCGTAATCGACGGGGATAGTTTTACAACACAAATACCATGATGGCATAAAACCTGTTGGAAAATTCAATGTTTCCGTCCGATTTCGCACCGTGCCGGGCGCCGTTGTTGTAACACAACAACAAATCGCGGTATTAATGCGTCACCACGTGATCGCGCGAAATTCGATTAAAAACAATCGACTAATATCAAGCCCGGAGCGGAAACGAAAATAATTAGGCCGGGCGATTGAAATTTATCCGGGCCGACGGATAAAATACCGCTAATGTAAATTTGTCCCGCGTGTCAGTTTTAGCTGAGTGCAGCTGAATACGTTTTCACTCGAAACACGGACCAAGATAAGAAGTGGGTGGGGGGAAGGGAGTTTTGACTTTCCGAAAATGTATTTTACACCGATATGGTTTTTAATTTTGAAATTTGTTTTGAGAGACGGTGGATAGGGCGAAGAACCGAAAGTATATATGCGTGACGAAAAACGATTCCGAACGGATAGTGTTACGTTCTTTGCGTGTTGCCGAGCGATCCTAGAGCTGTACTGCAGTAATCGGCTAGAAATTGTACGAAAAGTCGCCGGGTTTATCGTCCGTTGTGTGGACAAACGGCCGACCCGATTGCGCTACGGCAAAGCCACGTCCCATCGTCGCGGCGAGGTTTTCGGTCGGAACCGGATTTTCGGTACCGACCGCCGCCCCCCCCCCCCCCCCCCCCCCCCCGCCACAACCGCTCTCGCACAGATGTGTACAGTGACAGCGGCCGGGAATGTCAGTCGCGGGCGACATTGTTTGAAATCGTTAACGCTGTCCGTATACTTTGGATCGCGACAATGCGGACGGGTAGGCGTAGGTAGGCAGGCAGGTAGGTGGGTGCGTCACGTTCCCGGCCGGTCCCCTCCGCGCCCGCGGGACCGTACGGCGGGGCGTCCGTGTATTGTTGCCGTAACAGTTCTCCGCTATTATCGGCGACGGCGACGACGACGACGTCAATAGGAATCCGTGGACTGTGCGATAACACAATACAGGCGCTGGGCGAAGAAATTATTCGAGCGGCGCGAACGCACCGACAAAAACCGCGGGTCCGTCCAATCTGCCTGCCTGCCTGCCTGCCTGCCTGCTTTTCCGTCCGCAACGGTCCGGGGTGTTTTAAAGCGCATAGCTGTGCGGAAAACGAACGCGACACACGAGACGGGGGCCGCATGGAATTGTTTAAACGGCCCATTTCGTAGAATATCCGGACGATTGATTTTTTTTTTTTCTCAAAAAGTTTGTAGGGGGTGGGGGTCCGTTCGCCTCCCCTCACCAGTAATACGTTACGCCGTTACATCGTACGTCGGACGTATTATAAACGAACGAAATTAACAATATTATACGCGGGTAAACGAACGAATACGAAAAAAATAATTTGAAAAATGAACGAGCCTTTTTATTTAAATAAAAAAAAAATAACGTATTTATACCGCGGGTTCGGTTTGAACAATCGTCATCGGGCTAACAGAACAACAACAATAATTAATAACGAGCGACTGTATACATAAAGTCGCAACGAGCAATACGCCGACGAATTTTTCTAATTTTTTTTATTGACCTAAAACAACATTTGTTTTTGTTTTGTTTTTTTTTTTCACTCTAAATCGTGTTTCCGACGAAATTAAAACTGGTCGTGGTTTTGTCTCGATGTCATGCATACACGGTGCGACTGCAAAGCGTTCACACGAAACAATCCTGAGCCGCGCTGTGCGGGCCGGTCTTTAATGTATTTTTATGTCCAGAAAATATAAAAAAAAAAAAAAAAAACGAAACCCCTCGCACGTTTGTTTACGTTGCTACAACCGACGGTAGAAAAAAAAAATTATAAATAGATAATCATCACCGGGGGAAAGTTCAGCGCCTGTCTAATAATTTGTTATTATGTAATAGTAAAAGTGCCCGGCGATGATGTTAAATTATGTCCACCGAGTACCACTCGGCCAACATCGTTTCACGACGAAGTTGGATTTACGTTTCTGTACGGAAATCGGCGACGGTTTTACGGGCGGGAGGGCGGAGGTCCGGGGAGTCAGTACACCGGACTCCGCATTTAGACTGCGAAAAGTAGACGTTTGTGTTACGGTTATAAACCTCTAAACATTCTTTGGTGATTAAAACACGCAGTTAGGTGCATCTACACGTTCATGTAGATGAGTGGAAAAAAAAAAAATAAATAAAAATAATAACAGGTACGCAAGTCGGTTTAAAATTAATTGTTAAACACAACGGGGTAGACGTTTTTCGTGTACATTGTAACGCGACATCAAATGACCCCCCCCCTCCCCCGGAAAAAGGGTTCAAAAAGCCGCCACTGACGGAGAATATTTGTCCGTTTTGTTTTTCACTAACGAGCCCGACGTTTGTGGTAGTACGTGTTCGTAAGCGTTTTTTTTTTTTTTTTTTATCGGTTTATACCGTCAACACAAGCGCATTCCGTGACATTAACCGGATAAAATTAATCGGCCGAACCGTTGAGGGAGGGAGAATACAGAATGTCCAAACGTCTCGCGCGACTTTTGCGTTTCAGCATGGCGCCCGTCCGTTGGCTTGGAGGAAAATGAAAAAACACCACAACAACCGCGAATGTATTTCATTCACCGGCAATTCAGTTGCGAGAAGCGCAGTATTTCAGACCGAGAAACATTGAAAAAACCGTTCGGTTTATCGAACACAACAGTCCGCTTTTGGATCGCCGCACGGCGAAAGATTCTACGGTCCATTCGTAACCGTAACATTAATTATCATTTAATATGATTACACTATACGGTCGCTGCGCGGTTGAAAATCTATTGCAAAGCGTTTTCCGTCATTGCGCAACAATCGCGCCTGCCGACGATCGGGCGGATTTCGTTTGAAACCCGGAAAACCGTTGTGAGCAACGTTGTTTCCGGAATCCGGATTTCATTCGTTTGTCCGGGATCGGAAACACCACCGGCCCCGGGGAGAGAATAAAAACACCGGTGCACGCGCACAGTCGGTCTACTCCTGTGCTATACTATTAATTGTGTTTGTTTTTATGACGCGCGGACTCGAGTTCATACGCTTGTCTGTAAGTACTTTCGCGCCTTTAAATATTACCTATCGTTATTATTATTATTATTTTTTTTAATCGTTTTATGTTATCGTCCCATTATGAGATAACCGGCTTCCCGAGTGTATAGTTTTTTTTTTTTTTTTTTTTTATATATATAGTAGGTATCATTTTTCGAAGATAAAACGTTGTTAACGATATCGACACATTCTTCGAGCGACGACGTAACCCGCGCCCGACGCCCTAGAATCTATACGAATTGTAAAAATCCAGTGTAGCATGTACGCTATATCGTGATAATAATTTTTTATTGCAGACATAATAATTATTGACGATTACTCGACTAACAGCCGCAATCGGATGACGTGTAAATTTCGAGCCAACTACTAGAATCACATTATATACTTACCTATAAGTACCTATATAAAAAAAAAAAAATACCAAACAAATTGCCAAAACAAATACGAAATAGATAATAATATCGAAATCTCGTGAAGGACAAAAAACATACGTACACACTCCGCACGATGGGGAATTTCAATTCGGTGTATAATATCTGTACGCAACGATAAATTATTGCTAACGAAAAACTATCCCGAGCGAGGTTCGGTTGAACGTGACATATTCAAACAAATCTGTTACACGTCGCACTTAATTTATTTGTATTTGATCACTAAGTACAAATTCTGATAAACCTCGGCTTAATGCGTCCAGCATTTCGGCTCGGCCAAAACAATTGTATCCACATCAAACCAAATAGAAAAATAATAAAACTAGACAATTTCAATAAATAAATAAAATATCACCGGAACGTTTTGAACATTTTACCGCGTCTATCAAAAGCTAATATAAGTATTCTGCGGTGGAAATTGCAGGTTTCTACGATTATTTTTAAACGAATAAAAACAAAAAGGAAAATAATAACCAAACGTTGTTGTCGGTGGAACTTTCCCGGTTTTACTATGTAATTCCCAATAATTATATTTCCAAAATTATACGGGGAAAAAACGACTTCTTTAATGCACCAACTAAATACAAAATTTCAAAAAAAAAAAAAAGGTGTCTTGTCACTGTGTGATTGGTTGCGAGTTTTCCGGCACATATTTTTGTCGACTGCAGATTGTTTTCATTTTTTCTCCACAATTCGTATACCGATATGATTTTTCATAGTTTCAGAATGTCCAGTCAGAAGCAGTTCTGAGGACAGTCCTACACCATTCGAGTACGAGGACATACTTTTGGTACCCATTTTTCCGAACCCCGAGCGTCAAAATAATATGTTTTAATAGATCTGGGTGCAATTTTATTGATTTCGACCGATTTACATATACGGTAATGCAAAACGTTATGCGGAATTTCGTTGTAGTTGGCGAGCAGTACGTAAAACAAATGTGAAATCGAAAACACGCCGCACGATTCGGTGCAGCCGGCAGTCCGAGAAGCCGACCGGAAGAACTACGCGAAAGTACCGATTTTTGCTCGCGTTTTCGCGGTATGCTAGTTTTTTGGCACGGTTTTTATTTTTTATTTTTTAGCACGTCGCAACGCAAACAGGAAAAAAAAAACGGAAAAGAAACATCGTGTTTGCGGTGTACATTATAATATCGTGCAGTGTAATAAAAACAAAATAAGCGGACGGGGGACACGGACTGCAGCGCCGTTTCGCCTCCGGTCGGTCATCGCGCGAAGTCGTTACGAAAATAGACGAAACCGAAATAATTCGTGTTCCGTGGGCGATAGGCGAACAAGGACTGTGTAAATACGTCGGCGACGGTCCGTAACCGAGCTGCGTAAATTACCGCCGGTTGTATCTGTAGGAAAGCAAAATTGTCGAAATATCAATCGAAAATATGACGAAAAACCGTTTTTCGTCATATTCTGCGGTCGGCGATTTAAAAATCGTTTGGGAAAAACTCACGGGACACCCGCGGACGAATGCACTACAATAACATTATTCAAGTACCTTTATTATAGATATCAAAGCCTGATTAATGGTTTTTTCACCAGTAGGCTGGGCTTGGGATGACCTTTTATCCTCGGTCCTCTCCCTATAAATTCTTCCAAAACTCCCCGAAATGGGTCAAAATATAGGAGTTTGAAAAATATCCGATTTAAAAAAAAAAAATTGTTTTTTTGCACCCCCATCATTTAACGGCACCCTAGGCGCCAGCATTTTCAGCCTATTGTTTAATCAGGCTCTGATATGGTATATGTCTACCACCGCGCAATAAATCCACATCGGCATTTGACCAATAATGATTCGGAGCGTTTTTTCTAAGCGAAAAGTACTTCCCTGGGGGGGGGTAAAAAACACAACTATCGCGTGTCCACCGCGGTGAAAGTATAAAACTATACACTCGGAGTCTACAATAACAGTTGTCAAAAGTGAAATAAAATAGTCGAGATCTGTCGCTATAGACACGAATTTTCCATCAGCCGACTTGTTACGTTTGAATAGTTTAGTTTTTAGATTCTGAGCGAAGCGAGGAATGTATTGGTTTTATAATCGTGTAATTTTTTTTTTTCTGCGAACAACTTTTCTACCAGAAATTTTGCTCCGATTTTCAAGTATAACACCTTTTCTGAAAGTAAATTATCTCCGTGTTGTACTTTAAAGAAGTAAATTAGATTAGAATTGATTTTCTAAGGGGATTTCATAACAAATGGGACAAACTGATAAAAACAGGAAAATTTACGAAATGTATTATTTTCTATTTTGTTTTTTTGTTGCGATTCAGTTAAAAATATTCATAGAGACTTGAAATTTAGACAGCGAACTTATATTACATTTTTTAGAAGTAGTAAAATGATCAAAACATTTTAGACACTTTTGGGCTGTTTATACACATTTTAATTTTGCGAGTTTTTTGTTACGTAGGTAATTTTTATTCGATTAGTACTCGTCAATAAAATTGTTAGACCAAACATAAGTACTTGAAAATGAACAGGAGATCCATTATAAGTAGTACTTTATGGTTAAAAATAAAAAATTGAGCGTAATATAGAATTTTACAAGAATTTTAATTTCAAATTTTTATAAAAATCATAAATATTAAGTCTTTTAAAAACGTGTAAAATCGAACTCCGCTTAGGGTCGTTTTTCGTTATTAATGATTAGTCGTTGCATACAGATATACACATGGGCGCCCGGAGAGAGAGAAAAACGGGGCATCTGCCCCCTGGACTTCAACATTTCAAATATTATTTTATTTTAAGTACTTTTTGGTGTTTTATTTTGAATGCCCCTCCCTGATAAATTTCCTGCGGGCACCTATGGATGTACATTATATCCCCCTTTGTATCCTGTCTTCCCAACTTACCACCTACAACAGTGGCCCACCAATCGTGCAAACCCGTCTTTTTTATGCGTTTGTAGTGATATTTTAAATCCAGCTTTTTTTGTACAAAAATGTTTATGGAGGCGATTGAAAATCAAAACCTCCAAAAGGCACATCCTCGATACGTATACTATGCATCTTTTATGCTTCATTGCTTAATTTAGGGTGCCTTTAGTGGTGTTCAAAACTTTAAAAACCTCATCTACCTACAACAACAAGGTAAAATACATATTTAAATTCGATCACTATACTGTCAACCTATAAAACAATTGCTGAGTTTGAAAACGCTAAAAATGTTCAAAAGTAGCCGGAAATAGATGCACATGTTATACGGGCAATATGCATAAGTTTATTTATTATTTTTTGTTTAATATTTTATTGTTATGAATAAATTATTAAATTGTTTGTAAGGAAAAAAAAATACTAAATTATATAAAATTAGTGTTTTTTAAACCTTTTATTGTTTGAAGTGCAATCGACCGTTTAAGCAAAAAAGCGCTATTCGACCAACACTCCGTTATAAAAGTTCCTGTCTGGCAATATAAAAAAAATATTTGTATTGTTCCGTCGTTGTCGTTACGGGGCCGAACGAACAGCGCGTCTCCTACGTGCAGCCCCACGAAATCAGGTCCCATTTCCGGAGTTGACGGCTGTGGGACTGGCACCGGAATTACCCACGTCCATAAAACGATACGATATTAGTACTAGCAAATTGGTGCGGACGTCAAATGACGACACCAAACACGTCATATCGTTTTAGAATATTGTGTATACTATTTTATTTTGACCTTTTGCATCGTCACGTAGCACTGTAGTAGTATTGTACTGTATTGTCTATTACACGCTCTCACAATACGCGCCGAATATTATTGCTTTTGTAATGTACAAAATATGTCGGCATACGTGTCGCGATTCTCGTGGTATTGTGTGCTGGGAAAAAAAAAATTGTTAAAAACACTGGACATATTTCGCACCATGGCCACTGTGGTAGTTGATGGGAAATTGGATAGGTATATGATAACAAATTTGACGATTTATATAGTTTATAAATGTATCGAAAGCAACGATTTTATGACAATCGAAAAACGATAAACTGGAAATCAACCGAAATAAAAACTGTAATACCGCATACATCCTCATTTTGTCGTCCGGGTGTTTTTTTCTCCAAGAACTATCGGGAGTTTAAACAAAAGTAACGCAATTCCGCTTGTTTTCAGAAACTGCGTGGAAAATTCAGTACTTACTTTTTACCAACCAAAAACCGGGTTTTTGAGAAAAATAAACACATCTTAGTAAAAATCTTTGCCGCACACAGAATCTATTAACAGTATATAGTTCAGCTCAATATTTTGATTGATCACAAATTAGAATACCTATCACACAATTATATTGATACAATATCAATGATACTGCTTACGTTAAGGGCATATTTACGGATGGAGATTAGATAGATGAACCCCTTGATATTTTTTGATAACTATTATTTAAATGATTAGGTATCTATTTTGAAGTTCAAATGTCTTAACTTTTTAGTAAAAAAAAAAAACGAATTCATTAATGTGTTGGTTACCTACTTATAAATACGTGAAACATTAAAAAAAAACTGAACGTAAATATTTCCTTGTTAACCTTTGACTGTTATACACTGTAAAACGTGATACACTCATTATTAGTCTAATGATGTTGACATTGTCCATCTGTTTTAATATAAACAGCGGTTTTCTATGATGTTTGCCACCAGTTTATCGGTACTATGGTGCCGAATGAGAGTATGGAGAATCTCACAACAAAAGCCTAGAAAAAAGTTTGTATGGACATTTTTTTCTTTTGTACTATAATACAAAACATGACAAAAAATGAGCCCTTGACTTAGAGTTGATATATATTTGCAAAAATAATTATTGTTTTTAGTCCACTGTAGGTCTCGGACACACGACGTCTCGTTAACAATAATTATTATTTATTTACAATAAAACAAAAAAGAAAAAACGGTTTTATATAACTATCTACCTTTATAGTTTATTATAATATATTATAATACGTGCGAATTAAAACCATTATCATAAGTAAAATATTATCCATCGATGGTTTTTAATTATTTTATTAAACATTTTGCTCGTGAATAATACGATAACGTTTTTTATTTTTTATCTATGTAAGCTAATAACGAAACATTGCCATTAAATACTACAGTAGGCATATTATATAAATAGTTAATAAAGGTTACACTTATAATAATTTATAGATTCTGAGCTAAACGAGGAATGTGTTAGTTTTATTATGGTATGTGTTAGATTTTTTTTTTTTTAATTTTTTTTATCTGTGAACAACTTTTCTACCAGAAATTTCACTCCAAATAAAAAAAAAAACAAACGAGCTTTTTTTATAACATTAGCTATCTATTTTGTGTATTACTGAAATTTTTTTTTTGATTTTCTGTGTAGTTGCCCTAATAATTAGAAATAAACTTAGACAAAATGAGAAAGTGTACGACGCTAATGTTTTTAGTAGGGTTGGTAATATACGCATATAAAACGTTTTATACGTTATTCGTATAATACTCCACTTATAAAACGTAAAAAATAACTAAACCGTGTAAAACTTTTTAACGACTGACATTTTTTTTTTTTTTGAAGTTTATTATATTAGTGATAATACTGTACATTTAAAATTTTAATAGGTATTTAAACTTATAAATTAATATAAAAATTAACAAATCACATCAAATTGGTGAATTTTCTTAAATTTAGAATAAAATAAAACAAAACAAATTATTTTTGATATTATAAATATTAATGTAGTTATTAATAAACAATAAAGATTGAACTTAGTAATTAATATAACAAATTACCATGTATCTTAGGTAATTAGTATAAGATTAGTATAAAATTATGATTAAATTCAATTGACAATTATTTTATCTGATAACTTCTGTTCAATTGCAGCCAAAAAAAAAAAATTGTACACAGTATAAAACTATTAGTTGTATACGTTTTATACATGCATATAATAATGTTTTATACTTCACTGTATTATACGTTCCAACCCTAGTATTTAGTATTTTATATTTAGTTCTTTTGTTGTACTTAGATTAAAAATACACTCTTCATAAGTGTTAAGAATGTATTTTTAATACAAGTTAAAATTTATATAATTTATTATGTCCTATTTTTAAAGTACTTAGATGCTGTCCCTCCTCCCTTTGTATCCGCCCCCTGTCAAAAATAATGGCTTTGTATCAAAAATAATGATTTAAAGTTGACAATTTTAAATTGTATTCAATAGCTTGTCACCTGTGAATTTGTAATCACAAGTGTTAAATAATATATACCTATATATATATTTTTTTTTTTTGTTGTGCAACATTATTTTTTCAATAATTTATGTTTATATTTTTAAAATTAGATTTGATTTAGTTTTGTTTTACTGCAATTTTGTCTACTATATACCTACTTACTATAATAAACAGCATATTTTTTTTCTATTTTAAAAACTGATTCAATAAGTAAACAATCAGTCAATTAGCGAACAAATTTATATGTACAATTAACTAATGTACCGTTAACATTATGTACCATTGTACTAATGCCTATACAATTGAATAATTTTTATTTTCAATGTATTTATAAGTAACTATACCTAATACCTAGGTACTCAAAAATACAAAAATATTCACAAGTACTGTTTATGAAAAATATTATTTTAATTTTTAATTTTAGTTGGTAACTGGTACATAGTAGGTATTTAAATATTATACTTTTATTTATAATTACCTACTTAGTTTTATCTTTCTATTGTATATAGTAATTCCTAATTAACTGCAAAATGGATAATGAACTTTTGACTGAAAACAATTCAGTTTTATTTTAGTTTTAGATTCTTAAAGAAAATAAATTATTTAAAATACAGGAATTACTAAATATGTTTGATGTAATATTATTTATTTTTCTTATACATTGGTTATTATTTAAAAATAATATTAATATTATTAAATTTTAAGTTTTTCTAATCTAAAAAAAAAAGAAACTAAATAAGACATTTAATAGTATGTATGTTTATTATAGCAGCAAATATGTTAAATATTTGTTAAATTAAGATTATAATTATTATTGGAAACATACAATCTATATATTATGTAAATAAAATATAAATTCTAATACTATTTTTAATTTTAATTCTATATAGGTATAGAATTTATAAGAAAAATAATTTCATTTTAATGAATAAAAATAAAAACAGTAGTCTTTTGTTAGTCTATTATCATTTAAAAATTCACACTGTTTTAGACTTTAAACAGATTAGGTAAATAAACAATATTATTAACTATTAGGTGTATCTAATAGTACTATTATTGTGATACTTAATTTAACGTTGAATAGGTACTAGACTTTAAAAGTAGATATAATAATAATATGTTGTTGAAACTTTAAATTTTTTCACATATCTAAGATAATTGGTGGATATCTGGATGATGGTTTAATATTTACCTATTTAAAATGTTTTTTCTTTTCTTGATGGAAATACTATTATTTTTCTCAAAAATAAAAACCTATTACATAAACATAAATAATTATATTGGGTACTGACATTAATAAATTGCTATAAATACAAATATAAATTGAGTTTACTTTTAATTTCTCACATTATTAAGTGGCACTATTATTCATAAATTTATCGTGTCTACAAATTTGCTGTGTTCTTTGCATTTTTAAAATTGGTGAAGATATAGAGTAACACAAGAGTCAAATTATTTCTAAAATATGAGCTGATACTAAGGTATAGGAGCGGTCATTGTTGTAGGTGAGAAGTTGGGAAGGTAGAATACATATGGTTATTTCATTAATATCGGTATGTATCAATAAACCATTGCTCGACGAAAGACGATTCCGAGCGCAGTTCGGTAGTACATAATTTGAAATGTCGTCATTTTTTTTGCGATTTTTGTTGATTTCAAAACGCTTATTTAAAAAAAAAAAGTCGTTTGATGATTTTGGAAACTTGACCACGTCTAAGTGGACGTAAGTCCAATATAAGTATTATTACCAAGTTTCAAATAAAAGCTTAAAAGCTCAAATTTTCGGCAATGATACTGTAAGAAAGTAAATCAAACAAAACAATAGGCAACATAAAAAGTGTCATGTGATTTTTCGATTGTATCATTTTTTCTGGTAGAAAACGTTTTTCGTGTTTTTATAAAATAATGAAATTATACGTTTTCCTAAGTTTTTTCCCACTGAAGTGATTTTATTTAAAAAAATAGCATCGAAAATCAAAACATGACTTGTTTAAAATACCATCTAAACAACTCGAGCTTTCAGAAAAATTGCTGCACGTGAAAATCGAAGCAAGTTTACTCAGAAAAACCGTGTTCATAGACTTGAAAAAAAAAAGAAAGAAAGAAATAAACAGCACTATAAAACCAATAGCTCCTTAGCTACGCTCAGAATCTAAAAGTAGAACATAAAGAATGGTGATATTTAAACAAAAATTACTTCGTAAAGGATACCATATTCTTTAGTCTGATAGATACAATTTGAAATACAAAAATACTTAGGTGCATTACAAGTTTAAAATTGCATACTTCATATTTTGAAAAATACTTCAAGTACTATTTCTTTTTCATTGAAGCTAATTTTCAACTTATCTTTGTCATCTGGTATGTATGCCTAATTATTAAATACATTTTAGTTAATCCATTTTTTTAAAAAATTAGTAATAACACTAATAAGTAATAACTATCATCCTATTGCATTATCTCTATACTATAAAACGTTTTTAAGATAGGATAAGTAGTTAGTTTTATATTAAACCAATTCATTTCTACATATTAAATAAAAGCCTACAAAGGATTAAAATTTATAATATTTAAAGTGGTTCTTGGTGTACCACAAAGTGTAGTCATAGGATCTCTGTTTTTTATCATTTCCATAAACAGATTACTTACCTTAGAAATAAATACAAAAGTACATGTTTAACAGACTTTATGACCTTGTTAATTTTGTAATAAATCCTATAGCAAATTATCTAAGTGGTAAATAGTGTTAAATCATGTTTTAACAATAATTTACTGCAATTAAATTTAAGCAAGACTAAATAAGTGCTTTAAAATACAAAATAATAGATTGAATAATACTGATTATTAATTATATGTTCATTCATCAATTTGAAATAATGGAAACTGTAACAACTATAACTCAGCATTAACATAACAAGTAAATGCTTATAGGTGATGTGTAACCATGATACGTGTGATTGTAATTTTCTTTTCTTATATGTACACGTTTTATTTGATTACAAATAATAAACGAATATGTATAATATATAAAGTTGCCATATTTCACACACTCAGAACTCGCTAGAAAATTAAAATAACGAAAAATCCTATGCACTAACACAAATAATGTTATTGCATTTACGTTTTATAATAAGTCGGTTTAAATTGACAGCACAAAATTGGTTCTGGTGAACTCAAATTTATTATGTCGTGCGTTTATGTAAGACGGAGACGACAAAACGCATGTGTAGCGACTAGCGACCTCTTAATAATAAATAGGTAATTAATAATAATTGATTGTACTATTATCGGTAATCAAGGACAGTATAAAGTATAATGTCTATAAAAATAAGCATTATTACGGCGTAGGTAGGTACCAATTTTAAAATAATAAACTATACCTAATGCTTAATGGTGTAATAATAACCTGGTATCTAATGTTTATTATTATGAAAATGTGATATACCCATTTATTGGTTATTGGTTTTTATTTTTGAATAAACATTCTATTATAAGGTAACATTACCAACAATAACAATTTTTGTTTTCAAATTTGTATCATTAGTAGTAAATTGCATCTATAAAAATGCATTACCTTTAATCTTTATATTAATTTATGTTAAAAAATGAAATCAAGAAAATAGTTTTAAAAATGTTTGTAAAATAATATACTGATCAATTTACGGACGCGTATGAAAAAGGGTCGAATAGGTGGTTTAGAACTTTTCGATAGAACAAAAACTTTAACTGAAACGCAAGATTTGCCATATTTTAAGTTTTAACTATATTTTAAGATTCTATATGTTGTTCGGTATTGTATATATTGGTTTTATAATGATGATACAATAACTTTACTACCAACAATTTTGCTCCAACTTTCAAATGTAGCACTTTTTTTTTTGAAAGGAAATTTTATTGGGGTTATATTTAAAAGAGGTTTTTTTTTACTTTTCCAGGAGTTTCCATAATAAATGGAAAAAAACGTAAGAAAAATGTATGACGTGTACTATTTTCAAATCGTAAATAATACGACTTTTCAAAACATGTTTAACTAAACTCTTCTGAGAATCGTTTTTCGTTAGCAATAATTAATCGTTGCATACAGATATACATTCAATTTCCGATCTGCCTTCCCTAACTTCTCACCTACAAGTTACAACAGTGACCCACCTACCATGCGAAGTATATCCGTATCTTTTTATATTTTAATATTCAAAATTTGACTGGTTTTTTTTTTTTATTAATTTCAAAAATAAAAATTTACTGAACTTATTATGCACATTGATTTAAATAACTTAACTTATCTTACACGACGTATTTAATAGATGCAATACCTATGCGACATAATTTAAAACGCAAAAATTATAATTTATCCTAAAGCTTTAGAATTTTATTTTGGGGATAAACCACTAGGTACCTATACTTTTGATTTTAAAATATCAACCAATATTAAAAATATCAAAAGTATGTACTTTTGTACTTTATGTATAAAATAAATAGTACGAAGACCCGAAGTATAGTTCATTGAGCCTGTAGCCCGTAGATTTAAAATCGTGGATGTAAAACTGGAGTATCCAGGTGAAACCCGAAGAGGTGGCAACCCGACACACAAATGGTGCCCCACACTCTCCTCCTACGCACAAATCATCAAAATTTAAAATGAAATATTTCGAAAACGGGCTAATGGAAATTAAAAATTGCATCACTAAAATGTATTTATATAAAAATTCTATTTATTTATGGAATTTTTGATGAAGGTTGCTATTTGAAAATCAAAAGTGGGTAGTAGTTGCACCCATAAAACTAAGAGTGACAAAAAATGGTAATTTAACATTTTAGAACTACTCGTTTCTTAAATTTATCTAAAAAATCAATTCTGAAATAAGTGACTACGGTCCAAGACAACGAGTGTCTTCCGTTATGTTGATCACTCTGTACATAATAATAAATTTATAATCTCCTATAGGTTTTTAGTCAGTATATTTTACACTTTATGCCTACCTACCTATCTAACATAGCATGACATTATGTTTACATTTTGTACTGTATAATATTATTATGGTTTATTGAAGCACGTGTTTCCTTATATTTTGTTATGTGACATACTATACTTACCTACCTATATATCTTTGATAAATAATTGTTTATTTGTCTACAATATGGCATGCGACGTTTGATGTCCGTCCTTGGCAATTATTATTGTTGTTTGTTTTATAGAAAAGTCTACTGTAATTTGTACATATATGTATAATGTATATTTTATATATATATGTATTATAAATCCATTTATTCTACGATAGAAAAAAAAATATTTCAT